CGGTGATTTAAATAATTGCCACTTCATTTACATCAAAATGGCCACCGCACTGTGCCGATCAGCTGTTTGGCGGCACAGCGGGGCAGTCTGGACGCACCGGGGTCAACAAGGGAAGCCTTTGTTGACTGCTCTGGTATGCCTCGTGAAATGAGGTTTACTGGAGTAGTCGACAAAGGCTTCTCTTGTCGACCGTGGCGTGTCCAGACTGCCCTACTGTGCCGCCAAACAGCTGATCGGCACAGTGCAGCGATCATTTTGATGTAAATGAAGTGGCGATTATTTAAATCACCGCTTCATTTTCCTATGTCTAGTAAACTCATCTAAATGGCTCCATCAACGGAGCCATGTAGTCTAGCCATACCCATGGGAAAGAAACGCTGAAAGAATTCCACCACGATTTCAACAGCTTCCATCCCACTATCAACATCAGCCTGGACCAGTCTACATGAGAGGTCCACTTCCTGGACACCACGGTGCAAATAATTGACAGTCACATAAACACTACCCTGTACTGAAAACCCTACCAACCACTATGCCTACCTTCTTGCCTCCAGCTTCCATCCTGGACACACCACGCAATCCATTGTCTACAGCCATGAACTGAAGTACAACCGCATTTGCTCCAACCCCTCAGACAGAGACCAACACCTACAAGATCTTCACCAAGCATTCTTGAAACTACGATACCCACACAAGGAAGTAAGGAAACAGATTAACACAGCCAGACGTGTACCCAGAAGCCTCCTGCTGCAGGACAAGCCCAAGAAAGAAACCAACAGAACAGGACAGCTGAAGGATGCACTCATTCACCAGCCTCTATTGGCAGTGTTACCAGCAAAGGCACACTAGTAAACAATTTAGACTGGGGCCTACTGACTAGGTGGTAAATGTCTTTGTCCCAGAAGTAGATCCAGCCTGGAACCCACTGTATCTGTCACCAGCGGATCTCTCAGATGTTAATAAACACAGACTCTGATAGTAAGTTTGAAAAATCACTAAACTGTATTGTATACAACAGGTAATAAAACACAGAACACAACATTTAAAAGAATAACCAACCCCTCATCCTCTGAAGGTAAAAGAAAAGACAGAGATAATAATGAGTGATGGAAATACTCAGTCTGTCAGAGGCAGCTGAAGTTCAGGACCTACAACCCCTTCAGCTGCAATAGCTGTCAGGGGAGGAGCACTGAAGCGTCCTTAATGAAGATGAGGCGTCCGATGGTGTTGGCCTCTGCTTGCACAGCTGAGTGGTGGCACGAGTGGTTTAACTGGAGATCAGGAGGGCTTTTGCCACAGCTGACGATAACGGCTCTGTGTGATCTCAGGTGATCCCAGTGGTGTTGGTCGGGAACACAGACAGGTAGCTAAGGCTCACTAACTGGGCTTTTACCACAGCGGGGGCCAGAGCACCCTGAGGACGGCAGGCAGACGGGGAACCGGACAGGATAGGTTGGACGGGGCCTTCGCCACAGTCACCTCTGCGTCTCGACGACTCCTTCTCCAGATGGTAGGGGAAAACTGCCGACCAGAGCTCCGCAAGCTTTGATGCTTTATAGAAGTCAAGGCAGAACTTCTCTTGGTCTCGTGTGCAAAGTAGGGCATGGTGCGGTGTGCAGAGGCGTGGTGCTGGGTGCATAGACAGGTGCCGTGTGCAAAATGGTGTTTTGGCGGCAAAAGTCCTTGCAGTCTGTTGGATTCCATTTTGAAAGTCCCAGCATGCACCTGAACTCCATTTTGAATGTCCGTCGGTCTTCCACTGTTAAATCCCTATTAACAGCAGGGTTTCTATGGAGCCACCCTTTTTTAATGATTCCCAACATTCTGTTTACTTTTTTGACTGCTGCTGAACACTGAGTGGATGTTTTCAGAGAACTATCCACAATGACTCCAAGATGTCTCTCTTGAATAGTTATAGCTAAATTAGTCTCCATCATATTGTATACATAGTTGGGATTATTTTTTCCAATGTGCATTAGTTTGCATTTATCAACATTTAATTTCATTTGCCATTAAATTTCATTTGCCATTTTGTTGCCCAATCACTTAGTTTGGTGAGATGTTTTTGAAGCTCTTCACAGTCTGCTTTGGTCTTAACTATCTGGAGCAGTTTAGTATCATCTGCAAATTGTACCACCTCACTGTTTACCTCTTTCTCCAGATCATTTATAAATAAGTTGAATAGGATTGGTCCCAGTATGGACCCCTGGGGGACACCACTAGTTACCTCTCTCCATTCTGAAAACTTACTATTTATTCCTACCCTTTGTTTCCTGTCTTTTAACTATCAGTCCATGACAGGGCCTTTCTTGTTATCCCGTGATAACAGAGCCTTTGGTGAAGGACCTTGTCAAAGGCTTTTTTGAAATCTAAGTACACTATATCCAATGGATCCCCGTTGTCCACATGTTTGTTGACCCCCTCAAAGAACTCTAGTAGATTAGTAAGGCATGATTTCCCTTTACAGAAACCATGTTGACTTTTCCCCAACAAATTATATTCATCCATGTGTCCGACAATTTTATTCTTTACTATAGTTTCAACTAATTTACCTGGTACTGACATTTTACTTACCGATCTATAATTGCCAGGATCACCTCTAGAGCCCTTTTTAAATATTGGCACCACATTAGCTATCTTCCAGCCATTTTTTAAAATAACTTCCGTTATTTTGAAATAACAAGTGGAGCGTCCAAACTACCAGGCTTATTATTTTGAAAGAAAGGGCTAGTTATTTCCAAATAGTAATTCCTGCTCTCCTTGGGGAATAAGCTTATTTCAAAATGGTTATTTTGGGAGTTAGTATTTTGAAATCATTTCCTAATGTAGACATGACCCCTATGACTTATTCGTCATTTGTAAAATAGAGCTATGAATACTTATCTCACATGCCTGCTGTGAGGCTAAATTTTTCATATGTAAAACTTTAAGATCCTTGGATTTGAAGTCCTATAGAAAGTTTAATTACAGCCAATAATGCAACCAGCATGCTGACAAATGGCTCACACACAGCTTTAGCAACTAATATATCTGTAGACGTGAGGGGTTGTTAGTCTTGAGACGTTAAATAGACCCAGATACTTTTGGAAAGAATACCATACTATCTTAAACCTTCATTTTCAGAGCCCAGTAAAATGGATCTGAGTTCACCATTTCAGCTGTGGGTTGCTTTTCTAATAGGTTGCCACCCATCATTCTTTTTCTATGGGGTTTTAATGGATACAAACCAAAGTTCTGGAGTGGGATTTGAACCCAACACTTTAGAGAACAAGGGAGAATGTGCTAATAACTGACACAACCTGCTAGACCCCGTTATGCTGTGCCTATCACAAACAGCTACATAGTTTGTGCAAAAAAAAAAATCAAATCCTGTACATGTCTTTGCCTCTGTAACATATGCCTCACTAGCACAATATTTCATAGCTCAAGCAATTGAAACACTATTTGAATGACTGTCATAAACCTATTGCTGGCATCATTTTCCTGCTAGATTTAAACCATTATCCCATCGCTGTAACAAAAATCCACCTGCATGTTGCTTTTTAAGATCAAGGGGCATTTCTGATGTCTGAATTAGAGCTGAAGGCTTAATAGTTGCTTGTCCACAGGGTGGCGAAATGAATGGGGAAACATTTCTGCTCTTGGAGTCACACCTCCAGGGGGAATATAATAAATTATGAACATCTCTAATTAAGAATGATGTTCCAAAGCATTGATTTTTAACTCCTTTTCGTTTGTGGACTCCTACAATAATTATAATGGAGGTTCAGACCCCTTTGGAAATGTTAGAAATGGTCCGAACACCCCCCAGAGGTCTGCAGCCCACAGGTTGAACACCACTTTTTAAGGAAATTAAGAACACTAATAATATTAAAATATGTCTGGATTTCCCTCTTCAAGGTCTCTGAAGGGCACCCATCACAGCCGCATGGCATGGGGGGAGGCCTGCTCTGGTGGCCAGGGTTGCCATGTGGCAGGGAGGGGCCAGGGCCTGTTCTGGCATCTGGGGCCATGAATGGGACTTGCCAATGGCCGGGTTGGGGGGCGGGGTCTGCACCGGCATCCAGGAACAGGACCTGTATGGAGGGCGGTGTCTGTTCAGTGGCCAGGAACAGGACCTGACACATGGCTGGTGGAGTCTGCTGCATGGTTAGGCAGGCGGGAACGTGTGTGTGTTAATAAATTGGATGCCACAGTGGCACACACCCAAACCAGTGCATATGACCTCAATATTGGTGCACAAGCCAAAACTCACTCTGCTCGTGGTTGAAAAATCTTAGAGCGAACACTGCCTAGCTTCCTGACTTGCACTGTGATAGCTCCAGCTAGCCAGACAGCTTAAAAGAATCCTAAGATTATGATCAGTGTATTGCCCACAGTTATAAGTTACCATCCAACTCCTTCTAAGCAAGCACATTTATTCTTATGGCACAAGCATTACAGAGGAAACATATTAAGACAATAAAAGAGTCTACACACATTCTAAAAACTTGTCAGAGACCATTCTCCAACTGACTCTAGGGCTCTAGTAGGTTTCATTCCTTCAAAACCAAGAAATTGGGTTTTCCCAATGCTTAAAGTTCATATCCTGCTTAGATCCAGAACAGCTGCTGGGCAGATCATCTATTTCTTTATCAAACTTGGCCTTCTATAACAGGTAATCAGTAGACATTTACCATCTTAGGGCATAGCTTCAGAAGCTTTGTATGTGTAGAACTGTATTCAGAGAATTTTCATTAACCTCTCTCTAGGATAAGAGTCTCAAATTCATGGCCCATGGACCATCTGTTGCCTGAGCAGTTCCACAGTCCAGACTGCACAAGACTGCCAACATGTGAGTCCCTGCAGCCCTGGGGGGTTCCTGTACCATTCCCCCAAGCCCAGCCCTGCTCTGCCCCCACCCTGCCTCTTCCTGCTCTATCCTCTTCCCCCACCATTGCATCCCTTTCCTGAATCTCCTTCCCCCAAGGGACGCAGCCTCCGGGATTACTGGGGGCCACCTGCTGCGTGGCAGGACTCCCACTCTCACCATGGTGGCAGGAGCCATGGGGAAGCAGAGGAACACAGCATCCTTCTGTGCTTTGACACCATCTCCCAGGCCAGCCCAGTCACTCTGCTAACCCTTAGGCTAACCTGAGTCTGGCGGACCAACCTGTCCATAGGACGGTTGGGGTGACCACCATTGGGCCCCCTAAAATGCGAAGCCTGGGGCGGCTGCCCCAAACCATCCTATGGATGGGACAACTCTGCACATATCTCCTACAGGCTACAGGAATGTGCCAGCGATGGTTCGAATCTAGCAGTCAGAAGCCGCTCTAGCTGTGCTGCTGGTGGTGACGGGGGCCCCTGGGGTAGGGAGGGTTAAATCACCAAGGGTGGTAGGTGGGGCTAGGGAACATGCAGAGGGGGGGACATGCAGAGACCCCTGCCACTCCCCTCACAGATCCCTGCCCGAGAGGGGTACCTGCTGTCCCATTCGAGGATTTGAGGGCTGACACTGGCCCTAAGGTAAATTGAGTTTGAGACCCCTTGCCTTAGGGATATCCCAGGAAATTCATTTAACACTTATTGAGCTAAAAGTCAGTACTTGTCTAATACAATTTCAGTACAGTCTTTTGAACTCCCAGGTCTCACATCTGTCACATCTCCCCACTAAAGAGGATACACACAGTCCTTGCCCAGGATAATGTGTAAACTTAATACAATAAGGCCTTTCAAGGATATTGCAGGAAATTGACATATCTGTCATGGAAGGTATTCAATAGTTCTGTTTCTTTGCTGTAGAGGATTTGTGTTAACCCTATATACAGTACCACCAAGCCATGGCATCCAGGACACATGCACTACATTAAATTCTCAGCTCAACAGCTTGAGAAATGCATTGCTTGTATCCAGAGAATTTCAGAACTATTATGCTGAAAAGGAAAAATTTTCTAGTTGTAAAGGGCTGTCTTTGCATGGGCTGAGATCGCTGTCTGGGGAGAAGGAAGAGAGGCACAAGAAAGACAATTTAAGAGCTGGGCAGTTTAATATTCTTCTGCATCCCATGGCTGATTCTGGGCAGGCTTTCTGGCATGGGAATCATAGAATCATAGAACACTAGAACTGGAAGGGACCTCAAGAGGTCATCGAGTCCAGTCCCCTGCCCTCATGGCTGTACCAAGCACATATGCAAAGGCAGCCAGCAGCTTTACTGCTAGACTACAGAATGCTTTCCAAGGTACCAGCGACCTAGCTGTTATGGAAAGAGAGGAACAGAAGTTGTGCTAAAAGGACCTTCCAGTGAAGAGAGAAGCTTTTGCATATCTCCAATGGCCTAGTCAAAGAGGAAACCTGCCTGCAGACCACAAGTGTCCTGATGTATGTTTCAGAAGCCTTAATGGGAAGAATGCATACAAAACAAGTCCAGCAACCTGCCAAGGGATTGTTAATGACTAAATCCACTCTACTACTTGGCCACTCTTATAGACCAAATGAGTCAGTTTCACATTCAGCTCATGCTGGTTTCTAAAGGTGTAAACTCAGATACAAGGCTCCCAAAGCATTCAGTCCTATAGGCAAAGAAGGTATAGTGGGATACTACAGGGCATCAGCAAAGCCCAAAAGTGTGGAAGTCTGGTCAGAGAGGCTGGACAGGACAGCTGAAGGATGCACTCAGTCACCAGCTTCTATTGGCAGGGTTTCTATGGAGCCACCAGAAGAACTAAAACTCCCCTTCCTTTATAAAACAAGGAATCCCTCTGCCATGCATATTGGTCATATCAGACAGTCTCTGTGCCAGAGAGTAAATAGACACAAATCAGACATCAAGAAAGGTAACATACAAAAACCAGTAGGAGAACACTTTAACCTTCCTGAACACTCAATAACAGATGTGGAAGGAGCCATCCTTTTACCAAAAAACCTTTAAAACCACAGTAGGAAGTGAAACGGTAGAACGGCAATTCATTTGCAAATTTAACATGATCAAATTAGGACTGAATAAGGACTTAGAATGGTTCTTTCACTACAAAGATGATTGTCCCTCCCTTGGCATTCACCCCTCCATATCAATTGCTGGGAGTGTGTCACATCCCTGAGGGTATGTCTACACAGCGAAGTTATTTCAGGACACCAGAGGTATCCCAAAATAGCTACCCCGCGTCTTTGGAACACATCCACTATTTCGGAAATATAGCGGATGCGCTATTTCACCATCCCTGTAAACCTCATTCTACAAGGAATAAGGGATGGCTCAAAATAGCTCTTTATTTCAAAATTTAGCGCTGTGTAGATAGTGACAAATGATGAAATAAGCTATTTCAAAAAAGACTCAAAATAAACTACACAATTTGTCCTACACGATTTGCCTTACGAGTTTTGAGTGCTGTGTAGATGCACCCTGACTGAACTGGCCTTGTTAACACTGGTCCCAAACTTGGTAAGTAAATCCCTTCTTTTGATATGCAGTATATATATCCCTATCTCTGAATTCCACTCCATGCATCTGACAAAGTGGTTTTTACCCACAAATGCTTATGCCCAAATAAATCTGTTAGTCTTTAGAGCTACTTCTACACTGCAATGCTATTTTGAGACACCAGACTATCCTGAAATAGCTATCCTGCATCTTCACAGCAAGCCCGTTATTTCGGGCTTGCTATTCTGATGTCTCTGTAAACCTCATTCTATGAGGAGTAAGGGACATTTTGCTATAGCGCTTTATTTTAAGATCTGGCACTGTGCAAACAGCACCAAATGACAACATAAGTTGATGCTATTTCGAAATAAAATAAGATACACAATTTGCATAGCTCAAATTGCGTATCTTATTTCGAGTTACGGTGTAGATGCACCCTAAGTTGCCAAAGAACTCCGCGTTGTTTTTGCAGAGATAGGTTAACAAGGCTACGTCTCTGAGACTTGTCGCCTTTTTTATAGATACTCTGATGAAAAGTGATAATGGACACACCTCCTACGTTCCTTCTTGGTGAATTTCCTCTTCTAATGCTAGATCCCTTATTGGCAGACAGATGCAATGTACATCTTCAGCTTGTATGAATCTGGGCCAAAAAGTTTCAGGGGGAAAATACCACTTGCCTTTTCCATAACCCTGAAAATCGGGATCAAAAGCTTAAAAAAAAAACTTCTTATGAAAAAAAACTGGGACTGAGTGTAACCTTGCGGCTGAAGACTGGATCACCTGGGCTAAATCTCAGTGTGCTGAGCTTCCATTCTATGATTAAGATAATTTTAAATCCCTGCAGGTTTCCATGCAGGTTCCTTACGGTAACGAAAGCCCCAGCAGATAATTAGCCAGTTTGTAAGACGCCACTCTGGGCCCAATGAATGCTGGGCTCTTCTTTCAAATGTAACTTGTTTTAAAGCTGTTGATGTACCTACCGGCACACTGCAAAACAAACCAGGAGCAGATCCTAATTCCCTTCTGCCCTATTTCTAGCCCATTTTCCCTTGGGAGTTGGGGAGGAATGATCCATGTTGAAAAAGGAACAGTGACTTGATATTCAAGTGAAAGATCTGGGGAGAATCTCCGCTCTGAACTGTGTGGTGTTTGTGTAGAACTGAGAGCTACAGGTATATTGATAGTCCCAGTGGCTGTGTGCAAATGGTTCCCCTGGTGCATCTGCATATCAGCTTCCTCTGTGAAAAGGGTAGAAAGCATGAAACAGAACTTAGTACTACACTTGCTTTCTCAAAATATCCTTCTGTTTCCTTCCTTCGCCCCAGCCTGTGGGCCACACTTCCCCAAAGACTGCAGAACCTCTTATATGCAGTGTTTAAATGGAACTTCTGCTATTAGCAGCAATTCAGATATTGGGGGGAGGAGGGAGGTGCAGGGCAAATTCCAGCTCCCCCACCCTCACAGAGAATCTAGCTCTCCCTCAGTCAGAAAACATCCCCACTTTACTTTTTAGATTCCAAATGGACTATGGTGATCATATAGTCTGATGTTGAATACTACACAGACCGTAGAATTTCCCCAAAAGTAATTCCTACTGTGTTTCTTTTAGAAAAAATCCAATCTTAATTTTTAAAACTTTCAGTATTAAAGCATCCATCATGGTACTAGGTAAGGTGTTCCAATGGTTAGTTACTCTCACTGTTAAAAATTTGCATGTTGCGTCCAGTCTGAATTCATGTTCTACTTTTCTCTGTTAGATTGAAGAGTCCATTATTAAATATTTGTTCCCTGTGCAGCGATCAATCCACCGGCTGTTGATTTATCACATCTGCTTAGACACGATAAATAAATCTCTGAGCACTCTCCCGTCTACGCCGGTACTCCACATGATGAGAAGATTAGCTGGCGTCGACCTTATTGCACACAAGACGCCACAGTAAGTACGTTGACCTCAGTGCTGCTGTTCGCGTAGCTGAAATCATGTAGATTGGATTGACGGTGGGGATTAGTGTAGACTAGGCCTCTGTCTCCCACCAAGCCTCTCTAAGTGCATACACGTGTGCACACACAGTACAGAGGTTTTACCACAGGCTGAAAAGGGCATTTTTGTGAGAGGTTTTCTAAAAGATGGCCCTCACTTAAAAATCATAACAAAAGGAAGTATGGGGGAGGGGACAGGGCCATTTGTTGTACTGTACTGCAGCTCTCTGCTGGAAAAGAGGAACCCCCATATCCTTTGGTCTTTGGGTTCTTGTTCTATTTATTAAACTAATTGCAGCATTTTAACAGAAAACTAGATTCCCCTTCAGTCTGAGCCCTCATCAGTTCCCTCCCCTTTGGGAAGCTTTTGCAACTGCTCTCTGGCCATCAGGGAAGAGGCATAGGTGCGGGCAAAAAGTTGGAGAACCAAGAGGAAGAATTAAAATTGAGGACAGGGGAAGAAAGGCAGGCTGGCCCTAGCCATTTTGCTGATGCCCTAAGAAAATGTAGTTCTGCCAGCACAGCACATTCTGTGCTTTCTTTTTTTTAAAAAAACATTTTCATTAGGGATTTAAGTTTTCTGTTCAGCAATGCAACTTTTTGAGACTGACATTTTCTGCCTTACTTTCATGCTTTTAACTTTGCCCTCTCAGTCTTTGTGCTGTTCTTTATGACTCTGTTGTACCTGGGGGTTTTTCCCATTGTCTTTTTCCATTTGTTTTTCTCCCAGCTGTGAGATTTCTTTATTGCAGAACGACTGTTCCTCTTTCCTTTTCTCCCCTTCCTCATTCTTCCTCATTCTGGGACATGATAGCGGTTTTCAAATATCTAAAAGGGTGTCACAAGGAGGACGGAGAAAATTTGTTCCTCTTGGTTTCTGAGGACAGGACAAGGAGTAATGGGCTTAAAGTGCAGCAAGGGAGGTTTAGATTGGACATTAGGAAAAAATTCCTAACTGTCAGGGTGGTCAAATATTGGAATAAATTGCCAAGGGAGGTGGTGGAATCTCCCTCTCTGGAGATATTTAAGAACAGGTTAGATAGACATCTGTCAGGGATGGTGTAGACGGAGCTTGGTCCTGCCTTGAGGGCGGGGGGCTGGACTCGATGACCTCTCAAGGTCCCTTCCAGTCCTATGATTCTATGATTTTCTTGTGTAGTGGTCTCTCCCTCCTTTGCTAGCTTCGTGATTTCTCTCGCCATCCCCTTACTCCTTTTTCTCTGTGTCATGGTCCCTATTTCCAGCCTCTGGATTCTCCTGTTTTCCCTCATTACATGCACTCCAGTGCCTCTTTCCCCTCATAGAATTACTCTGGGGCACACGCACATGCTGGCTCCCTTGTCCACACCCTCAATTTGGCAGCTGTAGTGCCCTCTGCTGGGGAGTTGGTGACAGTACAGTGGTATCTGTTGTGTTCTCTTGCCCACGGAGGGCTGTGCTGGACCAAGCAAAGCAGAGACCTGGAGAACATAGGGCTGGAGGGTGGCCTGAGCATTTTCATGGGGGAATTCTTGGGAGGGGGTGATGTCAATAGTGGCCAGATGCTGGTGCTGTGAATATTGGGCCAGAGGAGCACCAAGGGAAGGGAAATGGAGGGGACTATACATATAAAATGGTGGGATCTAAATTAGCTGTTACCACCGAGAGAGAGATCTTGGAGTCATTGTGCAGTCATTGTGAAAACATCCACTCAATGTGCAGTCCCAGTAAAAAAGCTAGCAGAGTGCTGGGAATCATTAAGAAAAGAATAGAGACTAAGACATCATATTGCCTCTGTCTAAATCCATGTGTGACGGGTCGGAGCTGCCCCTTTAGGCCGGGGCCGATCCGCCCCGCACTACTCTTGCAGTGGTGCATGTGCTCCTGGGGGCGAGCCGGGAGACACAGGCCCCCTGCGCACGCTGCTCGGCGGCCGCGGCCCAGCTGACAGGCATGGGAGCTGGACACTGGGGGAATCCAACGCTCCGGGCTACATCACAGGCAGCAGGACGTCCACTACCCTGGGGTCAGTGGGTGATGTCAGGCAAGGCGACTCTGGGAGGGGATGAAAAGGGAGTCTGGGGAGGAGAGAGGGGTGCCTGGAGAGGAGGAGAGCAAGGAAAGGGGAGCACCACTGAGTCTGGCGGGGTAGGAAGCAGCCCAGGGCAGGGCATTTCAGGACTTGCCGGTGGGCTGTTGAGTTTCAGTTATTAACCCCACCAGCTGGACAGGACGTTACTAGAGCCTGTCCTTAGGGCCCTGGGCTGGGGCCCAGGAGAGAGGGTGGGCCTGGGTCCCCCTACTCCGCATTCCCCAGACTGGAAGAAAAGAGGGGTGGTAGGCCTGAATTCACCCCGGACAAGGGGAGGTGGTGGGACCTGAACCTATTTACTTGGGCCACGCAGCTGAACTGAAGGACATCCCAAAGCGGGGGTGAAAGGGCACCTTTGTACACTATGGTATGCCCACGTGTTGAACAATGGGTGCAGATGTGGTCACCTCATCTCAAAAAAGATATATTGGAATTGGAAAGGGTTCAGAAAAGGCCAAAGGGGTATTGAACAGCTTCTATATGAGGAAAGATTAATAAAACTGTAGCTTTTCAACTTGGAAAAAAAGACAACTAAGGGGGGATATGATGGAGGCCTATAAAATCATGACTGGTGTAGAGCAAGTAAACAAGGAAAGTCTATTTACTCCTCATAACACAAAAACTAGGGGTCATCAAACGAAATTAATAGGTAGCAGGTTTAAAACAAACAAAAGGAAGTAGTTTTCACACAACCCACAGTCAACCTGTGGAACTCTTTGCCAGAGGATCTTGTGAAGGCCAAGACTATATCAGGTTATTAAAAAAAAAAACCCTAGAATTTAATTCATGGAGGATAAGTACATCAATGGCGATTAGCTAGGATGGGCAGGGATAGTGTCCTTAGCCTCTGTTTGCCAGAAGTTGGGAATGAGCAACAAGGAATGAATCACTTGAATCTTTTCTGTTCATTCCCTCTGGGGCATCTGGCATTGGCCAGTCAGAAGACAGGATACTGGTCTAGATGGACCTTTGGTCAGACCTAATATGGCCGTTCTTACATTCTAAAGTTCTTAAGGTGTAAAGTACATCAAACCCAGGGTAAAAACCATGAAAAGGCCTATACACATGTGTAGGATGGCCATTCATGCATTCCTGGAGTACTGGACATGCTGGTACTTTCAGGAACAACATGGGTCTGCCCTTCCCAGCATGACTCCAGCTTACCCCAGCTAGATACTAGGTTAGTTAGTCCTTTGATCTGACCCAGTATAGCTGTTCCTATGTCCCCTTTTTCCACATGCAGTGCCAATGGTAAGAAACCTCTTTCCATGTTTTGGAAAGTAAAAGTGCTCTGTGAGATCCCAGTACATGGGGGAGGGGGGTTGCCCACATATGGCCTTGAGCCAGCAATCCAGCATCAAGCCTGCAGAGGTTCTGCAAATCAAAACCCTCCTGCGTAGCGAAGTCAACAGAGATTTTTTCCCTCATCTTTAAAAAAAAAATGTAAAATGCTATTTTAAAAATAAATACTAGTATTTAAATCACCCCTCCCCCCCATACACACACACGCTTGTTTAAAAACAACAAAATGAACAAGCCATTAATAAAGTGGATGTCTCCTGGAAAAGCCTCTGACATTGGAAATGCTGCAAGCTGCAAAACCCTGCCTGAAACTGCTGCTTTAAAAAAAATCACTGTAGGCCGCAGTCTCCACTTGTCCTTATCTTTCCACTTCTCTGGCTCGTGTGGGCTACGGGCTGGGGAAGGCATGTGCTCAGAAAGGAGCAGTAATACCTGTTACATGTTTGCCATGTCTGCCTTCCCATCTAAGGGGAACAGAGGGCAGACTGAACCCTGCTGGTGCAGGCACTCTCGTAAGAGGCAGGGAGGCAACCTGACACTTCTACCCGAAGCTGTAGTTTGTGGTTGTGCTTTGTTGGGCTGCCCAATCCCTTTCTGGTTTAGAGACTGAAGTTTGCTTGCAGAGTGCACCTCTTGGCTCTGTTCCCACCTGTGTCCAGACGCTTTTGCAAGCAATGCCTACGCTGGGGAGCAGAGGGTGCTCTTTAAAAAAAAAATTGCAGATTAGTAGAGTCTGGTTTCCTGTCAGGTTTTTGCATTTTCCTTCTCCGCCCCTTTCAGACAATGACACACTTTTTCTTACTTTCTGTCTTGCCACTTGCTGCTTCCGACACTGGTGCACTTGCGTCCCACACTCCAGAGCCCTCTTCTCCCAGTCTGCAGGGCTCCGGCCCTTGCCACTCCCTTGCTTCCCAGCAGATGCAGAGCAGGGCTCATTTCTCTAGGGCTCCTGGAGAGGGACACTGACATGCGCCTGGACATGACCTAGCGAATTTCACCCAGCAGAAGGACAGCAAGCGAGCCTGGTCACTCATGAGCGTCCAAGGTAAGGAAAACAGCCACCTGCCAGAGCAGCTCCATAGGATGGCCGGCTGGGATGGCACTTGGTTCAGATTACTGCAGCTTCCAGATTTACTCCCCGCTCCAGGAGACTTTTCTGATAGTCTTTCCTCTGGCTGGGCTCCTTTCTCACCTGCAGCAGGTCTAGCTCCACTTTGCATGCATAGATACATAAAGCCCAGGTTGCATTCATAGGTGCAAGTACCAACCAAAATGTTTTGGGGGATCTGGAGGAAGAATTAAAAATGGTTGTGAGCGGGCAGGAAAGAGGGAACTAGATTGATTGACAGGAGCTGGCCCTAGGGAAGTTGCTGTTCTCACTTAGACATTCCATACTACCCCTTTCTTTAAAGCTATCTGTTTGAGGAGTATGCTTCCTCTAAGTAATAGAGCCACTTCGAATATTTTCTTGCTTTGCAGTTGAACTTCTCACTTCTTCCACTCTGTTTTCTTTGACCTTGATGTATCTTCTATTATCTTTTTTGCCATCTTTTTACATCTATTTTCCATTCAGCATATTTTCTTTATTATATGACAACTCTTCCTGTTTTTCCTTTCATCCCCTTCCATTGCCTTCCTCTTTTTTTTAGCCTGTGCAGTAGGCTGTTCCTCTTCCCCCAAGTCGTGCATTTCTCTTCCCTCCCCCTCTATTATTTTGTTCTTTTCTGCTCCTTTCACATCTCTCCGTTCTCCCCTTCTCTAGTCTCTCTGCACTTCCTCTCCCCCAAATCTCTCACACATTTTGCCTACCCTGCAAAATCAGTCTTGCACTCTGCTTTTACTTTGCCCCAAAATTACCCTTTATGCTGCCATCTTTCGCACCTGTTCACACTTGATTTGTTTCAAAAGCTCCCCAACACCTCCAAACAATCCTTCCTCTCTCTCTCTCTCTTTCTTTGTCACACACACACATGCATACACACCATGCAGTTTCTTCCAACTCTCTTCACTAATACACAATGAACAATCTTCCCCTTTTCCACACTGACAGTCTGTCACACACAGAACCTCCTGTCATCTCCCTTTATGTTCACATAGCTTCCTCTACTTGCAGTTTCACACAGGAGCCATTCTGTCCCCTGCAAGAGTTCTCTTCCCACAGTTTCTCTCTTTCTCTCCCACCCTCCCAGTTTTTCTGCCCTCTCACTGCTCCCCTACAGTGTATCCACACCTTAAGCGTGTTTTTGTGCAAGAGAATTGAAAGAACAGAGGGGGTTTTGCACAGTTGGTTTTCCTCTTTCTATGAGGAAGAAGCCTTTTTACAAAAGAATTATTTCACAAAAAGGCATATATGGATGGGGAAGAAGAAGTTTTTGCACAAAAAGAGGAAAGAGGAAAGAGGAAAAATGACAGGTGCCCTGGTGGCCATTCTGTGCATGCCAATCAGTGCTTACTTTCAAGAGAGCATCCATGCAGTCTGGTCGCTCTCTTGCAAAAGCCCATCACTTTTTTCAATGCGCTTTTGCAGTGTGGACGCACTCCTGTGCAAGACGTTTTGGAAAAGCTTATTGCACAAGAAGCCTGCAGTGTAGACATAGCCCAAGTTCTGGCCCAGTCCTTCCCCCATGTATCCCCATCTCCCCCACATTTCTTCCTGCTTCCACCATATTCCCATTTTATCTTCTCCCCACCTCCCATGCCCTCCCAGTTTCTTTTTGTCAGTTTCTCCCCGTTAGCTTCTGGTGCTGCCATGTTGGACCGGAGCCCACATAGGGGAGGTGACTCCGCTCTCTGCTGCCTCTCTGCCTTTGCATCTCCCAAATTTCTGCAGGAAATTTGGGGGAAGTGCTGCGATATCTCTGTTATCCCTTTCCATTTCAGGCTGTAGGAGCAGAGCAGTGGGAGGGAGGGGCAGAGAAAGGGAATGGTTTGCTCCAAATTGTCCTTGGAAAATGGTAAAGTGTCACTGAATGAGATCAGCTCTTCAGAAGTCGAAGAAGGAACATAATTGAAATAGGGGAAACAGTTACACTGTTCCCTCTGCCTGAGTGCAGAACTTCTAGCCTTGAGGAGGAGTTTGTCCCTATGGATTCCCTTGAGTTATCAAATCCCAAAGGTGTAAATTTCAATGTGTGTGTCTCTCTCCGGTAAGATTGTGTGTTTGGAGTACAATTGCTATCAGAACCACACAAGAATTCGGGAGGGACTAGCAACAGCCAAAGAGGCTACCTGTTTCTTTTGTACTGAGAATTTTGCTCTCATGTAGGGTATTGGATAAAAGCACACCTTGTGACAACAGCTGATAGTGTGTCCTGGTTGGATAGTGACACTTAAAAGCAAGGTCTAAGATGTCTTAGATTTGACATCTCTCAGCCTCACACTCTTGAACCAGGACCATTTAAGTTGAAGATTTATTTCCAGGGCTTGTTTTAGTTTCAGACTTCTCAATGGAATTGCCCTGTATCCCAGGAGAATTAATAAGGAGTCTTCTGTGTTCTGGAATTCTCCTAACAGGCCAGCCTGCTCTCTCAGGTGATGGTGGGAGCCGCAAATTGTATGCGAGAAATTTGACAACATCCCAAGAATTTCAGGGATGCAGAGTGAGCAATCTATGGCCTTTTGCTTCCTGAATGCTGAAATAACTGCATTCTGGTTTTTCTATCACCTGGTGACTTGTGAGCCTATTGAGAAGTAACATTTCTACAGGTCTCAGGATATCATCACAGACTCCCAGATAATTGATTGCTTCCCCCGCCCCAGCTCTAGTGCTATTTTATTTCTCCTGGCCTGTTGGCTTTTTTGTGGGCATGGGAAGTGCTTTGGGTTAGGACACCAGGGGGACTAGAGACTCCACAGTGAAAATATTGGGGTGTGGATCTTTATTTCTGTCCGCTGATGTTTTCCACCCCTGCAATATCCTATGGAGACAAAAGAGAGAGCAGGGGTTGGATCACTCACCAACGTGCACAAGATCAAACTGGCTTTCGGGGAGCAGGTAGGACTCCCCAGCCGAGTCTGGCCCTATCTTTCAGACACTAGCCACTGTAAGTCCTGTTGGAGACACCCAGCTCTGGGGAGGGGCAGGGACACAGGCATCAGACACTGGGAGTAGGGAGGAGACAGGACAGAGCATTAGCACCAGAGCAGGGCAGCAGCTAGCCAGTAGCTAAGAATGTGGGGGTAGCTCAGGGAACACAGGGTACCAACCACAGAGGAACTGCCATACGAACTACTGGGACGCCTCACCCCAGGCTGGACCCAGCTCCCTTCCCTTCCCCAGACTTGGTAGCTCCCCGGGCATCCCTGTCCACCACCCCATTCATAAGGATCTTCTCACTCTCAGTTACACCCAGAGGTGAAAGTAAGTCAGTGCATCCTGGTGCACCACTCCAGCAAGAAGGAGCCAGCGGGCTGTGGTGCTTGGCTGCAGGAGGAGGTGGGGTGCACTTCCAGCCCAGCTCCTGGGCTCTGCTTCAGGCTGCCACACTAAGCAGCAGGCAGCCAGGCAGATGAAAGGACTGCCCCAGCTCTGAGGTCCCCCCAGGGTGCCATTTAAGGAGGGCAGAGGAGCGGAAGCCCCCCTGAACCCCAACATTCATACTTGGACACTGCTTCCTATTCCCTCTCCATCAGCATGTTTTTACATAACCCCTGGACCAAATCCTTCATGGCTGCCAGTGCAACTCTATTGATATTAGTAGGATAGCCAAAATGTAACAGAAAGGAGAATTTCACCCTTAGAATGAGCTCCATGCTCCAATGAGTTTTAGTAAATTTATGAAAATGTATCAGAAACTGATAAAAAGAGTTTCTCTAAGGGTCCGTCTACACTAGCCCCCTAGTTCAAACTAGGGAGGCTAATGAGGGTGACTGAAATTTCTAATAAAGCGCGGGATTTAAAAATCCCATGCTTGATTAGCATATTCCCGGCCGGTCGCCATTTTGGAAACTGACTATCCCAAAGTAACTGCCCGCCTCTACACACGGCAGAGAAGCGGGATTCCGAGATAAACCCCTTAGTTCGAATTAACTGTTAAACCTCATTCCATGAGTAGTCAGTTTCCAAAATATTTAAATCCCGCACTTCATTAGCAATTTCGGTCGCCCTCATTAGCCTCCCTAATTCGAACTAGGGGGCTAGTGTAGACGTTCCCTACATCAGTTACTAGAAACATACTTGAGTCCACTTTTAATAAAGTTCTCCATTTGTTTTTTCTCTGACAACCACCTCTTTTTTCCTCTCCCCTGTATCCTAGTTGTAAATGTTTATTTTGATACATGCATGAGCCTTCACAAATGACCACTTTCCAAATGGAAACATGAACTATCAAAAGTTAGAACAAACCTGTAAATACCTGAGCGAGAGAGAACAACCTGACACCTTCTTTAGAAAATAATTGGAGTGCAAATGGAAATGGTTATTACCGTGAAAATGATTTAAATCAAGGCTTTACACTTGGTTATTTAACACCCTTCTAGGAATTCCTGTCATGAACCAGGACCCTATGGTGTTAGGTGCTGTATGTAAACAGAACAAAAAGACAGCTCCCACTCAAAGATCTTACAGTCCAATCAGTAGGCATGAAATCCTGCCCTCACTGAAGTAAATGTGCGTTTGGCCACTGATCTCAGCCAAGCCTGGATTTCACCCAGAAATGCTTTGCCACTGACTTCTGCAGAGTGCTGCCACCATGGCTGGGGTTACAGGTTAGATCTCCCTGATCTGGCACCGTCAGGATCTGACTGGCCCCAGATGAGAGTCTCTGGCTCCAGCCCCAGCCTCGTGCTGTCCTAGTCGGGCTGCCAACTCTGTTGCACTGGCCTTGGCTGGCCCTCTTGCTCGTAGGCCCCTTGGCTTTCTGGTCTAGGAGCAAACCTGCTGGACCACGGATGTTGCTAGATGAGAAAGTGCCAGTTTTCAGAGATATAACCTGTACTTTAAAAAAAAAAAGAAGAGACAGGGATACGTTTATTTTCAAAACAAATGATGGATTTTTACAAGTATGTATGTAAAACAGCCACCATCTTCTGAACCCCAGCATTTTCATACAGTTGCTGTCTTCACCTTCCTGTCTGGGTCAGTAGTTTTAATGAAAGTGAACATTTTCAGGAGAGTAACCTTTCTACTTGTGATTTGTTCAAGGGCTCGGGAGTTATAATGGTCACTGTAAGATTTATATGATTGGTATCTGTGGCACAGATCCAGCGAGGTAATAAAAAGTATGACTGTTCTAGCTTCCTCAGTCACTTTTCTGTCTTCTGGGCCACCCTCACTTTTGCCCCTTGCAGACAGAAAGGGAAAACAATGTCAGTCTTTTTAAATTGCAGCTTTGGCAGAACTGGGTTATACCCATTTCGCATATGACGTGTCCCAAATGTAGTCAGTGAATTACTTCTTTCTGGAGCACTTGTCACAGTGGCTTCAGTTAAAGTTAAAAGTGGTTTTCAGATTTTATTTTAAAGCTACATCTCTTCCTCTCTACATTCTCCTGCCAAATAGTTAGACTCCATGAGACAAAATTTAGTGAGGGCCATATCCTGCCATTATTCTACATGCAGAACTTTCTGCTGAAATCAATGGGAAGTTTTGCATTTAAAATCACAGGCAAATAGAGCTCTTACATTTTTATGCCAAAAGTCCTAGTACATTTTGCAAAGCTCATGAAAATAAAGGACGAACAGCACTATTAACAGCTGGAAATAATGTATGTAGTTCCTATGCAAGTGTAGTGCAGGGATAGTTCTTGTTAAAGCCCCCTAAACCTCATCTGTTTTCACTGCTGCATGTGCCATTGCTTTCCAGTGTTATCAGCTGCCATAAGGCTGTGTAACAACTCAACTAGAAAGAGGAATGTGTCAGACATCCCTGGAAGTATACCGGAAATGTCAAACTAAATGTTTTCATTTAAAATGGGTAAATATACATAGTTCTGCATAAATTACAATAGGGTTAATACTGGTTTCTTCAGTGAATGAATCTCTGGGTAAAGTAAATATGTACAGTGATGACAGATGCTTGGATTCTGGTCTCTAAAGTCTGTTTTGGCATAGACAGATACACTTTCTCTTTGCACTTATATCATGCTACTACTCTGTGAGCACTCTTCAATAGTGACATTGTAAAGTAAATTGGGTAAAGTTGTGAAAAAATTCATAAGCATGAAGGTTCCTTATCGGTGCTTGAAAAACAATCTCTGGAACTGATCCAAACCTCACTGAAATCAGAGGGAAGACTCTCATTAACCTCCATGGACACTGGATCAGATCCTTTGTTGGGCCTGGTCTACACTGCTATGGAAGATTGAAGTAAGATATGCAATTCAGCTATGTACATCGCGTAGCTAGAGTCGACATATCTTATATAGCATTTCTGCGCCATCTACATAGCGGGTTTGCTCCCTTCGGCCTTCCTTACTCCTCATGAGGAGTAGGAGTACCGGCGCTGACAGGGGCACCCTCTGAGTTGGATGTAGTGGGAAGATCAACTGTCCGTTATTCTGGTCCCTCCGTCCGGTAAAAAAAAACAGAAAATACCGGACATAGGAAATACCAGACATTTTATGTTTCCCTCGGATGGAAGCCCGGCGGGGACAATTTTCCCCTGCCATATCTGATGTGGGCAGGGGAGTGAGGAGCACAGGGCCATTTAAAGGTGCAGCGCCCTTTTTTTCCCTCAACAACTTTGGTCTCCCCCTTTTTTATTTCTCAACAGAATTTTTCCTGATTTTTTTGGGGGGGGTTGGAGGGGGGCGTGTTCAGTATGTTTTGTTAAACCATCTGGCAACCCTATTCCTCATTAATGTGGATAAAATAGGATATTTGCTATGTAAATGCTGTAATAGGCTATATGTATGTTCATGGATGCCATTAGCAGTTAATAGATTGCATTCCTTTTGTGAGTGTATCTGCATATGGACATACATTTATAATCCAATTCTGAAAAAATATATGTGTGATATATAAAGTACTTCTACACAATAGTCATTTTAACAAATAGTATGTCCATAGCTAGATTGGTTAATGGCTGTAGGTTTTTTCTACACCTAAGCAGAAGAGCCAGTTCCATAAAGGTTAGAAATAACAATGAAAAACTATTAAAATATTTATATTTCCCTCTGTGAATTCTGAATCCTGAGCATAAACTGGGAAAACACTTGAACTCGCTTTACTATGTTTTTCCACAGAACCATCCCAAATTCTCTTTGCTTCTGAATACAATTGATGATTAATTTTTCTTTCCATTATCATCCGCTGAAAGATTATCACAATTTTAAAATCACGTGTAAGGTTTTGTTTTTGTTTTAAAGAACATCAGGATATTGAAAGAGAGACAGAGATATTAAATGGGATTATTTCCATTCTACTTGCAGT